CGGCGGCGGTCGCGGACGAGGCAGAGGCGGCGGCGCTCAAGGAGGCGGCGGCGGCGGAGAAGGACGTGCGGAGGTGGCGGCGGGTGTGGACGAGGCGGCGACGCTCGTGGGCGCCCGGCGGAGCTCGCGAAGGTGGTGGATGGCGCGGTGACGCCGTCGCTCGTCCCAGGTGGGACGAGTTTGTCCGCCAGTTTTTGGCGGATCGGTTGGTCCCGGATCTGAGAGGAATATTCCTCTCCAGGGACCAACCCATCCCACCCACCCCTAAAACAACACACCCCTAAAAGTGGGTTCGTCCCATCCCATCCCATCCCATCCTTGCAACCAAACACTACCGTAGTGTTTGAGCAGGGCGTCTTATATTGGGCTGGAAAGGAAGTGTAGAGTTCGAGCAGGCAGGCAGGCAGGCCGTTATATAGGTTTGGATGGGCTGGAACGGGAGTGTGAGTGAGGCCCATATATAAGTTGAAGTTGATGGGTCAATATAATCGGCCGGGGCCCGGGCCCGCTGCTCTGTTGATTCGTCGTCGTCGACTCGACATGTGAAACAAATACTCCATTGATGAAGAAGAAACTTGACTTTGACCAGAAATATAGATAGATTATAGACAGATACTGCTAGCTAGTTGCATCCGATCGCGCGTGCGTTTGACCAGCCAGCCGGATCGATGAATTGCTAGTTAGTTAATGCATGGTTCAGACTTAAATCATCAAGATTATTTATGATGCCGACCTCGATCGACCGATCGATCTGCTAGCTAGCTTGAATTTGCGCTGTTGTATATATTTTGGATCATCCATCTCCCAATGAAATGGTGTAGCTAGCTAGCTATATATAGCTAATTCAATTCTCGTATATATACTTCCTTCGACTTAAAAAAAAAGATTCATTATACTAGATTATATCAAAACCAATCTACTTCTTCAGTTTCATGTTATAAGTCATTTAATTTTTTTCTTAGTCAAACTTTATTTATAGCAAAATATAGTAACATTTTTAATACAAAGTAAATATTGTATCAAAATATATTCAATGTTAAATTTAATAAAAGTAATTAGGTGTCGTAGATATTACTATTTTTATATAAATTTGATTAAACTTAAAGAATTTTAATTAAGAAAAAAAGTCAACGACTTGTAATTTGTATCGTATCACTGGCGCAGGCTAATGGGAAATCTAGCTAGTTAGCTGGCTCCGAAGACTAATAACCTGTTGATCGATGACGCATGCCTCTTATCCACATTACATGTATCTAGTACAATGGAGTGGAGACTGGGAAACTGTTTTAAACACATATAGGTAGGACTAAGATATCTACTATAGCTGTTTACCTTAATTTGCGCGCGCTGGTTTAATTACTTCGGTTCAACGGCTAATAACCATACGGGAGTAGTTAATTATTTATTAATCCATGAACTGATGATCACTTTGCACGTCCCACTGGGAGTACATATATATTTATTGCATAATATACTCAATGAGTATATATATAACTTGTCCTGATAACATGCCGCGTGAGCTCCGTGATTCGTGTAATAATTTTAGTAATCTAGTATCAAAGCTTGAGTGTCAACGCAACCCACAGCGCATATGTACTGCCCTCCCATCTACTATCTTATTTGTACCAACGGCAGCTAGCTAGTTGCTACTACGGCCTATTAACAACTGAAAACTACTCCTATATATATTTATATATACTAAATCTATCTGTTTTTCCCCAATAATTTCTTGCTTGTTGGATATATATGCCGCTAAACAAATACTCCCTCCGTTTCAAAATGTTTGACACCGTTAACTTTTTAGTACGTGTTTGACCATTCGTCTTATTCAAAAAATTTAAGTAATTATTTATTCTTTTTATTTCATTTGATTTATTGTTAGACATACTTTCATGTACACATATAATTTAACATATTTCACAAATTTTTTTAATAAAATGAACGGTCAAATATGTGCTAAAAATTTAACGGTGTCAAACATTTTGAAACAGAGGGAGTAGTAAGTTTTGATTGCTCTCTTTCTAGCTAGGTATATATGCCAAGATCCACTACAACACAAAGCACTAATAATTAACACTACTCATCCATACGTCCAAGCCTTGATATGTGCCGTGTTGTTTTAGGGATGTGAGTGCGTCTTCAGATGTATATAACCCTTACAGCTTTCTGGGGTATGTACGATTGTATGAAATTTTGGTTAAAAGAAATTAAATCAATATTGAGCTGAGGAGTAAATTAAAATATGTAAATAAATAAATTAAATAGCCAGCAGTGATCAGATCGATTAGTTATTATACTCCCACCTAATTAAAGTAATAATTAATATAATAGCAAACAGTTTCTTAATTGATCGTCGCATTATCGATCCATATGTTCGATCGATCGACCGCGCGCCAGCTTTTCGAACGTTAGCGCCACTGGGCAACTAATTAAACGGTCGTAAGAAACCATACTATACTATACATGTCGTTGATGGCTTCCTACCAGTGCTTAATTTTTTTTTATCTATATATCCACATGCATGCATGTCGGTACAGCCGGTTGGTTCGAGCTGGAGCAAAAGTATGCAAAAGTACTGCATAGCTATATTGGCTGGCTTCATCACTGATTGACAAAATTAGGGATTTGCTGGCCATCATTGATTGACCTTGCTCCTAGATTAAAATAGTTCATATCATCATATGTATGCATGCATCATCCACTCTCCGCTTTCTTTGGCGCGATCTCATCCTGTTCCCCTCAACGATAACGCGACTAGTTAATTTAAGAGTTAAAGTTTGTTGTACATAGAGATAGAGCGTGATGTTCATCACAAGATCGATTCAAAACTACTCCCTACATCCCTAAATATTTGGCGCCGTTGACCTTTTTAAACATGTTTGACCGTTCACCTTATTCAAATAATAGGAACAGAATTAATATATAATTACTTAATTTTTTTATAAGATAAATAATTAAATATGTTAAAAAAAATCAATGGCGTCAAATATTTAAGGACGGAGGGATTATAATTTAAGGGTGAAGCGGCTATAGAGAGGTCTGGAAATAAGCCGTACCCACCGGCACCACCGGTGGTAGGAGCGAGGTAGCACTTCCCTTGGTTTGACATTTTTCCACTAGAACTTATATATGTTAAAATACTGGTTCCCCCTTCGAAAAAGTTAAAATACTAGTGAACATCAGAACATGTTTTAGACAAACTAGATAATTTTAAGGGTTTGTTTTGGTTGCAGGGCAATGACATGACAACTAAATAGAAGAGTAATTTAGGTAGAATTCGCGGGCTGGGCTACGACCGGTAAACTGTTTTACATATGTATAGGTCATAAGTGAGATGGCATGCATGATGTAGCTAGGATATTTTGTTTTCCTATCAAACAGATAGATATCATTGTCTACATATTTGTTGTTGACTCATATAATATCAAACAGGAATGATAGGTTCATACGCAGGTAAAATTGACGAAAATATGCATCGTCATCTCGAGTGGAGAAAAACAAACACATGCATATATGTACATGTCGCCATCGAACCCCTGCTATAATCTAATCTTCTTGCTTTTCTCAGTACACGCACGCAACTACTATCTAGGAATCGGCAGCTTTAATTTACTGATGCCATCATACCGATCGATAATTATAAGTACTCCCTTTTTAAGCCTTTCCTAGCTACTAGTATATGTCTATATATCGTACGTTATTTTGTCATATATATACTCTGAACTTTTTCTAAGAAACAAGCTAAAAAATCTAGCTAGCTTTTTAAATTTGTTGTGTGTGCTGAATGAAAATAATCACTTCAATGTGAATGAAGGGATAAACACGGCATGCATATGACATATATTATATATTCAGATTTGATTCGGCCGATTTTTCGGACTTTAAACCGCCGGTGGATATATATGAGTCGTAGTACATGTTTCTTTTTTCAATCGATCAATTAAATTTGTCCGTGTGAATGAATTGATCATGTATTGAGCGATGTGTTGATCAAGATCAATTAGCAATCTTCTTTTTCGGAGAAAAGTTAAGGAATCGGGCGGGTTTTGTATGTATATATAACAGTCAAGTTGGGCATGCAATTTGAACGGATGGTTCATGAGTGTGCGTGCATTATACAATTAATTATATTGCGAATATATATATATATGATACTACAAGCATACATGTGAACCAACGGGCAGAAATACGATTGTGGAGTCAAAGCTTGTTACTAGTTTGCGACGCAACTAAGCAAGCAAGCGGCGGCGGCTGGATTGGATTGGATTAGATAATTTCTCCAACTCAGCGTCACAAAAGTACAGCACATTATACCAGCTATAGCAGTATGCAAGTTAAACATGCAATTGCAAGCAGGTTAATTCGATCATATATATGGTCGTCCATGATAGTATAACGTACGGTGAGTCCAATCTGGCCAATCAATCAAGCAGCTGCTGGCTAGCTAGCTTGCACTGACCGGCCATCTCTCAAGCGTTGACTTGATTAATTGCTTCTATGTTTGGCACCCAATTAATTATTTTTTCTAATAAGTTTGAATTATCTGCGCAGATGCCATGATGCATACACACACAACTGGCGCAAATTATAAGATACTCCCACCATTTTATATTATAAGCTGTTTGACTTTTTCTTAATTAAGCTTCTTTATGTTTGATTAAATTTATAAGAAAAAATACTAATATTTTCAATATAAAACAAATATATTATCGAAATATATTTAATATCAAATTTAATGAAATTATTTAATTTGGTATTGCAGATGTTGCTATTTTTTATAAATTTAATCAAACCTAAAGAATTTTAAGTAAGAAAAAACTGAAACGATTTATAATATGAAAATGATGAGTAACTTTATGAGCTACAGAGAGAGAAACGACAGACATAACTAACAATATCATCAATATTAAGAAGATGATGAGATGGCGCGTACGTATTATATCAAGTGGAGTAGCTCAAAGAATCTATAAAAGGCGCAGCCCGTCGTCGAGCCCTCTCATCCCTCTTCTTTGTCTGATCGATCGATTGCTTCTCCCTCCTCTCGCTACTAGACTAGAGAGTAGGTAGAGCTAGCTTTCTAGCTCGTGGATCGTTAAGTTTGTAGTCCTGCCCGGGCGCCGGCGGTGAGGTCGCGATGGCCGGCGGCGCGGTGGTGAGCACGGGGGCAGGCAAGGACTACCCTGGCAAGCTCACCCTCTTCGTCTTCTTCACATGCGTCGTCGCCGCCACCGGTGGTCTCATCTTCGGATATGACATCGGTATATCAGGTACGAACAATTAATTAACTATATATACTCACTTAATTGTTCATGGTGCCTTGAATCTATCTATATATATACAATCATGAACAAATAATAATAATTAAAACAAAATTAATACACAGGTGGTGTGACGTCCATGGACCCGTTCCTGAGGAAGTTCTTCCCGGAGGTGTATCGGAAGAAGCAGATGGCGGACAAGAACAACCAGTACTGCAAGTACGACAACCAGCTGCTGCAGACCTTCACCTCGTCGCTCTACCTCGCCGCCCTCGTCTCCTCCTTCTTCGCCGCCACCGTCACCCGCGTCCTCGGCCGCAAGTGGTCCATGTTCGCCGGCGGCCTCACCTTCCTCATCGGCGCCGCCCTCAACGGCGCCGCCGAGAACGTCGCCATGCTCATCGTCGGTCGTATCCTCCTCGGTGTCGGCGTCGGCTTCGCCAATCAGGTACCCAGCCGCCCGCCCTATTCTTATTTGTCCATTTAATTATTTATTACTCCATTATTGGTCTCAATTAATATATACTACTATTAAGCGACACAGAGTATATGGATCGAGTTGCATGCCCCTAACCAGCTTAAAATTAACACACTACCATATACTCTTAGTTATCGTGTATTTAATTAAGTAAATTAAGATATGCTTTTCTTCGGGTTACATCAATTAATGAGAACACGATCGAAGACGATGCTGCTCGATCAGTCTCATGTGATGGTTACATCGTGAAGAAAATTATGTTATGTAAAGCTAGCCGGCGTCTCACATGCGCTACGCTGATGGAGCCATCCAATATATGAGACAAAAATGTTAATATAAACCGGCCAGTTGCACCACCACCCATCATTATTCTACTGTTATAACATCGATTCCTTCCATGACCATTAGTATATACTCATATAAAATTAATATATACTTTTTCCACAAAGAGATCAACGAAATATCCATGGGTGAGATTAGGTACGTTGCTCGTTTTGAACACAATCAATTGATTAGTTAACAAATATGTATGCTTTATCATGCCAAGCTGGGCAAGCCAGCAACTTACATGTGCAAATTAAGTCCAAGCTGGTCATTATCTAAAAAAGAAGTCCAAGCTGGTAGGCCTATCAGCTAGCTAGCCATAGATTTCTTTTATGTTAATTAATTTCTCAAGTACTACAAAAGTCCCTAGTATCTCATTTTCATATATAGTCTTCAAGAGAAAGTATAGGGCCCACCCAATTGGATAGGTTGATGGTGATATGCATGCATATGCAAATATTATGTGCTTCCCAAAGTCCAAGCTGGATGTTTACTTCCAAAGCTACAGAGGTTGACTGATTTGTTTGTTTATCACTCGCAGTAGCTGGCCATGATTTGATTACTTGTTCCCATTGCCACTTCTTCTCTTCTTGCTGCTTAATTTGTCTCTTGCTCTGAGCTGTGATTTTGACTCTCATAGCATATTATACTATTCATTCATCCCCCACATGGAAGATATTAATTAGTAGATGGCCACTTAACGAATATTATTGGCATATATGTAAACTGTCCTGAAAATTAAAGAGCGAGAATCTCGCCCGAATTATTGGCAAGCAGCTGATATATCCGCTCTCAAACTAAATTAAATGTGAATTAGTTTAAGGTCTGACGTGATGAGGTTCAACTGTAAGATTCTCTTGCGTACCAAATTAATATATATAAATATCCTTCCATTTCTGAAGCATGCATCATCATCTGTTCTTATGCATAAACGCAATAGCCAAATATGCATATTTTATCATCATCTTTTCCTAATCATGCACATATTTATAAAATCTATTAAAAATATTCATATTTTTCTTCGCAAATCAATTCTCGCATTGAATGCATCGGTGGCATGCAAGCTGTAGCTTGAACTCTCGATGGATCATCCATGATCCATGCATTCATCCAAGATTCACGTGGAATTGAAGACGCCTTTTTCTCTTTATTTTTTTTTCAATTAATTGATGAAAAGCAAGAGTACGTGTTGATGCATGTGAAGCTGATTAACCTTGAATTGAAGCATAAACGTCGATAGCGGCAAAGGAAACTTATCCAGATAACTAAGATAATTAATTTCAAACCTTTTTCCATCATCTAGAAACTGCATTCATGTTAATTAGTCAAGGACTGAAATGATAATGTTAATATTAGTCGATCACTGATGATCCTTGTCGGTACGTTTCCAATTGATTAAAGGGTAAAGCTATCGATAATTATCTGCTACTAGTAAAATAATTAAGCAGAAACTGGAGTAGAAAGGAAAATATAGGGTTTTAATTGTGGACGTCATTGTATGAAAGAATAGTCGTGTGGATAGATTAGACTAGTCGTCACGATAGTTGGAAGAATTCTGCGTACACTTGCAGAGTAGGCCATTGCTTTCTTTCTTAGATTGAAGACTTGACCTGCATATATATACGGTTACAACTATACCAGCAGCGTCGTTTTCAGCAAAGGAACAAGACTGAAAAAGAATCGTATTATTACTTACTGTACGTATTAGACTAGTGGAAATAAAGGGACAGATCGATCGATCGATGTGAGATATGTTGAATTTGAAGGGAGAATAACACAATCATTAAAAAAAATTCATGCCTTTGTCTCAATCGATATATAAAATATTGTCCTATCTGCTGAAAAATGAACATATATGTCGGCATAGTAGTAGCTAGTAGTCTTCTACTTTGCAGAAAATTATTAACACATATATATGTGATGAACAATTAATTAATTAACAAACAGTGTAATTTATTTCCTGCTATATATATTAATTCCATGAATGCTGAATGAATTATATATATATATATATATATATATATATATATATATTGGTGATGGATGAAATTAATATGAGAAATGATGAATGGATATGATATGCAGTCGGTGCCGGTGTACTTGTCGGAGATGGCGCCGGCTCGGCTGCGGGGGATGCTGAACATCGGGTTCCAGCTGATGATCACCATCGGCATCCTGGCGGCGGAGCTGATAAACTACGGGACGGCGAAGATCAAGGCCGGGTGGGGATGGCGGGTGAGCCTGGCGCTGGCCGCCGTCCCCGCCGCCATCATCACCCTCGGCTCCCTCTTCCTCCCGGACACCCCCAACTCGCTCATCGACAGGGGCCACCCGGAGGCGGCGGAGCGCATGCTCCGGCGCATCCGCGGCTCCGACGTGGACGTGTCGGAGGAGTACGCGGACCTGGTGGCGGCGAGCGAGGAGTCGAAGCTGGTGCAGCACCCGTGGCGCAACATCCTCCGCCGCAAGTACCGCGCCCAGCTCACCATGGCCATCTGCATCCCCTTCTTCCAGCAGCTCACCGGGATCAACGTCATCATGTTCTACGCCCCCGTGCTGTTCGACACCCTGGGCTTCAAGAGCGACGCGTCGCTCATGTCCGCCGTCATCACGGGCCTCGTCAACGTCTTCGCCACGCTGGTGTCCATCTTCACCGTGGACCGCCTCGGCCGCCGCAAGCTGTTCCTGCAGGGCGGGGCGCAGATGGTGGTGTGCCAGGTGGTGGTGGGGACGCTGATCGCCGTCAAGTTCGGGACGAGCGGCATCGGCGACATCCCCAAGGGGTACGCGGCGGTGGTGGTGCTCTTCATCTGCATGTACGTGGCAGGGTTCGCGTGGTCGTGGGGCCCACTGGGGTGGCTCGTCCCCAGCGAGATCTTCCCGCTGGAGATCCGGCCGGCGGGGCAGAGCATCAACGTGTCGGTGAACATGCTCTTCACCTTCGTCATCGCGCAGGCCTTCCTCACCATGCTCTGCCACATGAAGTTCGGCCTCTTCTACTTCTTCGCCGGATGGGTCGTCATCATGACCGTCTTCATCGCCCTCTTCCTCCCCGAGACCAAGAACGTCCCCATCGAGGAGATGGTGCTCGTCTGGAAGTCCCACTGGTTCTGGCGCCGATTCATCGGAGACCACGACGTCCACGTCGGCGCCAACCACGTCTCCAACAATAAGCTCCAACCATAATCCGCTCACGAATATCGTCGTCCATGTCTCCGTCACGCCCTATATTCTTCTTCTTGTGTTCATCCCCGTGTACAGTAGATGCCTTTTATTAGTTTGTTTTGTTTTGCCTAGTCAGTCTTCAATCTTAATGTACGTGTGTTTCTTGTTTGGCCAAATTGATCTTAATTGCTGTACCTTTCACTGTCAAAGAGCGTCCCTTGTTACCATTATCACACGGAAAGATTAATCAATTAATTTCACTCTGTATGTACAGCAAGAATAACATTAGCAGAGTGTGTACAGGGTGCCCATCTAAATATTGTTTTGTTCCTCATTAGTCAGCAATGAATTATTCAACACAATCACCATTTGTCTTCCAATGTAATACTACTCAACACCATCTAGGAAAACATATCATACGAACTGCTGCTGCAGCTGAAACTCAGCATATTGTTTGAGCTTTATTTACCAACAAATTAAAAGAAAACAGGAGAGAGCATTGGCAGTCTGAAAAACTTATTACTGAGCCTTTCTCTCGATCTGAACATCCCCGGCACCGCCATATTCCATCAGTCTAGGCCCTGAAGCTGCCACCGCCATGCTTCGGCCCCTTGGATTCTTCAGAAAAGAGCTCGAGGCATGCCCAGAACGCGCATGCCGTGAACTCTGTGCCTTGTAAGAGGATGTGCTAGCCACCAACCTCGAGGATTTACGATCCGATCTACCGCTGCGATCGGAACGATGGGAAGAAGAAATCTTGCGGGTGTGCCGGTCCGATACCTCTTTTGAGCCAGATGCTCTTATAGGATGCTTGTTGTAGAAACCAAGGTTTGGCAGGAGACCTACAAGGTACTTCTTCAGGTGCTCATCACCTACATTCTTCTGCGCTGGGTTCCCATCTAGGTTTACGGCTTCAAGAGAACTATAGTTTGCAGCCAGCTGACCAAGCCCCTTCGATGTGGAGATCTTGTTGTGGCGCAGGTCCAGAACCTTTAGCTTCAGAAGACGGTGAAGACCATCTACCTCACTGATCTTGTTACCACCCAGATACAACTCCTTCAAAGAAGAACAGGACGCCAAACCTAACAAATAACTTGGATCATAAGTCAATGAGAACAGACAGAAGCCTATTCAATTTTATTTTCATAATACAAAAGTATTGAGACATTTTGTCCAGAATCGAGGCAGAAATTCAATTTCAGTTCATTTGTTGGATAGTCTTTTCTTTAATTCAACAATCGACACAGTGAGGATGGCAGAACATAATAATTCTCAGTAAGAGCATGCTAAAATGGGGATCTTTCTTTTTCAGATAATTCAACAGCCCACATATCAAGGGGGGAAACAGATCATGAATTCATTACGTAGACAGACCAGAGTAAACTCCCTCTACCAATGCACAAAGGAACATTTGACATACGACATATAAACAAAAAAAAAGCATATAAATAAGAAGAAAGTAAATGATGTTAATGTCAATACCATGGCCAATTCTGGATATCCTATTATAGCTGATGTCCAGTAAGCGTAAGCGTGTCAATTCTCTAAGGCCCTCAATTGTTGAGATATTATTCTTTGACAAGCTTAACATGTGAAGACCCCTTGGAAGAGCCCCTGCAGTTATTCGCACTGCATAGTGCATAGGAAGACCCCAAATGAGATAATTTTGTAATCTTTATATAACAAATGAAAGCACATTTCCAGTGACTAATCTACTGAATTATGGAGAGAAGAAGAACACACCAATTGAATTCCCAGACAAGTTCAACAAGCGTAGGCCTAAGAAAGCGCTCAATCTTGGAATTGCAACCAAGCCAAGGTTTCCTAATTGTGCCGACGAAGAAGTCGGAGTCAATTTCGAAATATAAGTGTAAGCTATCTCCATGCCAAGAGGACTTTTAGCATCAGGCCGGACAGCAGGAACACCAGCCACCGGCTCATTATATTTTGTCAACACCGAGTTTGAACTTTCTCCTTGCTCCTCGACAAGGGTGCCATCGTCAATATCAATTTGGTTGATCCAATCCTCAATTCTTTTAATGCTAAAAGTTCTTGGGGAAAGTTCATCTGGGTCCACATCGAAATACTGGTTGTCATTAATTCCAGTTCTGTTGTGCTTGAGTTCTTCACTAATATCCTTTGAATCACACAACTTTAGATCACTCGCATCAATGACAAGTGATTTGTGGTAGGGAGTGCTATCTCTGTTCCACAAGTTATCTTTTCTCTCTTGATCTAGAGCTTCATTGATGCCACCGTCATTGTTGGAATGGTGAGAACCATCCCCTGTACCAGAGTAGTAGGGGGCAACTGGATCAACTGATTGGTGACCGCTCACATATTTGTTATCCCAATATTCATGACTTAGCATCCCATCCCTAACAAAACTTTCTTCTGCACTTGCAGTAGACCTTTGACCCCCATCAGCAGCATCAGAACAACCTATTGAACCATTGTCCTCAAAGTTCATTCTTTCATAGACATCTGGAGAAGAAGGTCCAGCACAATGCACATCCAAATTTGATTTAGAGTGATGTGGCTCGACGCTATTCAGATAATCAACCTTCTCACTAACCGCTGAACACAGATCGCTATTCAGATAATCAACCTTCTCACTAACCGCTGAACACAGATCTTCATAAGACCTGCAACGAGGCCCTAGTATCTCAGAATCAGCAGAACCTTCTGTACCACAATTGGAATTATTCTGAAATATAGCAGATTGTGATCTTGGAAATTTGGTCTGGTCATAACACAGGTAGTGGCTATCAGAGTCAACAACATGGTCACCTGAAGGACTGACCAAGTCAGACAAGGCATCAAAAGCATTCTCATTGCCCTTAGTGTTTAACTTAGCAGAATCTCCAACAGCTGAATTGCTTTTCAAACTAGAGCAATGGCCTTTGTGGTCACAGTCAATAATATCACATTCAGCACCTTCACTAAAATGATGATCATGATCCTTGTGAAGCATGTTTCCAAGAGATAGGCTCTTCTTTAGGTGGCCAGACTCCTTACTGTCATCAGAGCATGCATATCTGTTCAAGTCTTCAGATCTCCAGCATTCTTGATGAGACGATGGGCTAGTATCATACTGCCGGCTAACATTTGAATGATCATTTACATCTGTCAACTGGTTTGGACTTGCTGATCCAGCGTTGGACTTCACTGTTTGATCCTGAGAATCCATCTGTGAAACAGCAAGCATGGTATCCTTCTGTGAAGCACCGAGAATGACTTGTTCAGCTGGCAGAAAGTGTTCCTAATAATAAAAAGTATAAAAGGAAAGAAAAATGAGTGGTTGGAGCAAATTAGTCTGACAAGCCAATCAATCCAAATGCTCTCTTCAGGACAAAACAACGAGAAGCAAATTAAAATGTAATAAGTACTTTTTGATACCTTTGCCCTATGATGTGTGGTACTGGTCGAGGATGAGAAGCAGAAAAACCTAACCATAAGTCAACTCTGATGGCAATCACAAGTACAACACAAACAGAGTCGACCCAATCACATTGCTATATCAAAGGACTACCTTCGATGAGAACTCAGTTCAGCAAACGTGTTACATCTCAACTATTGTTGGAAATTAACCATAATCGAAAAGACCCTCCAATGCTCGGCGTAGTCTCCAGATGTAAGACGGGCTTTTCCCCAGAGGCGAGGTTAAGTTGGTTGCAGAGTAGTTGCAAACCCACACCCACTTAGAGGTGCGAGATGTGCCTGACCTCTTGATATCTGCCAGGCTGGACGAAAGATTAAGGAACTAGATAATTCCAGAAGGATGCATATGGTTGGCACAATCCTGCAAACAGAAAACGCATTACGTATTACCATGAGTAATAAAGAAAACTTGACCAGAAATTCTCATGATGTTCACCATGTTAAACACAATAAAACAATAGTCCAAATATTGTTTTGCTCTATAACATTTAATCTCTAAAAGGTGATGTTCATGATCAGCGAATGTTCAGTTATTATTAAAAAGAAAGCACTCTGTATTGGCCTTGGTACCCAATAATCAAAACTAACGCTGAGCTGAAACTGAAACCAAACGAGTCCAACTTACTCTGGTTGCATGCAAGAGAAAATAACAGAATCCCATAGGATGCAGATTGTTGTGAGCTCATCCAAAGGCAGCTACTAACCAAGACTAAAAGCACAAAACGCTTTGAAAATTGCAACAGCAAGGACGAGATAGAGATGATAGGATGCAGATTGTTGTGAGCTCATCCAAAGGCAGCTACTAACCAAGACTAAGGCTTCGTTCGTTCCCGGGTGTTCTGGGAGATTGAGAGAGAAAACATCTCGTTTTCCGCGCGCACGCTTCCCAAACTACTAAACGGTGCGTTTTTTGCAAAAAAAATCTATAGGAAAGTTGCTTTAAAAAATCATATTAATCCATTTTTAAAATTTAAAATAGTTAATACTCAACTAATCATACGCTAATGGCTCAGCTCGTTCTGCGTATCTTCCCAATCTCCTCAATCCCCTTCTCCTCAAACACACCCTAAGAGCACAAAACGCTTTGAAAATTGCAACAGCAAGGACGAGATAGAAATGAAAAGGCTTTATGCTCTTATCGAGTCCATCGTTGGACGACCCAATGGCAACAGTTAATGAGATACGAGTACGAGAGGTCCTGGACCGAAAGCTCCCCAGCACTGTCTCATCTCGTGAGCACATATTTGCACCACCCTTCCCTTGAGACTTGAGTGGCTGCAGCAGCGCCACCAAACAGACTGGCGATGGCGATGGTTTGGGTCCATGGACCTCTCCCGTCCCTGACCACTAGAGGTGCAGTAACAATCTAACGTGTAGCCGTAAAGAAGACGACTTTCTTTTGGTACAGTGATTGCCATCGTCATTATTAGGGAGGTACTTAAAAATCTCATGTACAAAAGCAGGACCTTTCTTTTTTTGATTGGATATATGTTGAAGAATTAATAAACGGAACCAAGATGTGTACTGAACAAAAAGCTAAAAATATCTGAATGATTCGTCCATGAAAAGAGAGAGACAACTAGATCCAAAAGTTTCATGGCAGATAGAGAAAAGAAAAGTGATGAATTAGCGCCTAATCCACTGGAGCTGCTCTCTGTAACTCGATGACGGCATGGGTTCAGTTCAGGGCGAATAATAATAGTACACGCACAATATACTACCTGAACAAAATCAGGGGAGAGAGACAGAGAGAGAGAGAGAGGAGAAATCTGTGAGCAAACTACATAGAGGTCCGAGGAAGAAGATGAACAGAAATCCATGCATGAATCTACAAATCCTAGAAGAGGAGGAGGGGAGGAAGCCGTCCGTGGTACATACCTTCTTCTTCCCTCTCCGCCTTGTCCGTCCAGAAAAGAATCCGGCTCTAATGGCTAGGAGCTAGTTGGGGTGGTGTGCGCTGCGGCGAAGAGAGTCAGGAGAACCTACCTCACCTGTGATTGGATCTGTAATTATCAATCTCTCTCTCTCTCTCTCTCGCTGCTGCTGCTCCTTCTTCTTGTTTGGGACTTGGAGACCGACCGGGTAAAGGAAAGGAAGTGTTTCTTCGTTTTATTTATTTATTTCCCTTTTTTTTTCTGGTGATGAGGAGGAGACCGAGAGAAGCAGAAGGGAAGATGTTACTGGGCTAGGCCGGGCCGGATGGACGGGATTGTGGGCCATGGCCCATATATGAGCCCATGGCATCTGGCCTTGTGGCTGCGGAGGATATTCCCTTCCCTTCTTCTTCCTCCCCTCCATTCGCCTTTGCCCTTGTTTGTTTATTAATCCCATTCCCTTCCCATGGATGAGTCGATCCATTCCCAAATCCAAGCCAAAAGCTTCCTCTCTCTCTCTCCCTCGTCGTCGTCGTCCCTGCGCCGCGGGGCGGGGCGGGCCATTGGCCGGCGGCGCCGACTGCGCCCGGCCGTATCTCCCCACCGCATTCCCGCGGCTACCCTGCCTATACGACACGACACTGCTAGCTCAGGTGCGCTATCTATTTATTACAGTATTTATCATCACTATATATATATGTATGTATATAATATTTGCGCCCTGCATTACTCATCTAGGTGTTCATGCGCACTCTCCTTGTTGCAGTAACAGTCCCAACAATACACGCACTTGTATTTCTTTTCTTCTCCAATGGAGTGCCATGCCTTGCCACACCACAATAATAATGACACTACCAGTTTCTCACTCTTTCTTCTTGCCAAATGCTGTTTTCACAATTTAATAACCATTTTTGTAATTATAATATTGATCCGAATGAATGAATCTGGTCTTCTGTTTTTAGGAGCTGACATCACATCACTCCTCTTGTGTCCAGTACAACAAGTACATGACATCACATCATTAATTACCATGATTTTTTTCTCCTTCCGATTCCGAGAGAATGGAGGAGTACTAATTACTAGTAGTAGCCTAGTAGGATGGATTGTTTTTCCTTCTTTTATCTCTTGGGATAGTTATGAAAAAGACCACATATGTGTTCAAACTCAATGAGTCGCTCTTGAGTAACGCAAAGTTTATTATCTGCTCCTATTGATTCTTGAGTAAAGGCACAGTTCCTTGCTTTTGCACAGTTGACTCTATCTACGACACGCATGCTAGTATCGTACATTGCATATTTGCTTATCAATGGTTGTACTAGGATTTTATGCAATCATGCAACCAACTAGTACAAAATTCAAGAATCAACCTTGTTGTTTTATCTGCCTGAAATCTCACATTGTTTAATATACGCAGAACATGAATTGAGCGTCAATCTTCCAGTCTTGAAAGAGAAGCTCTAATGCACCCATCCCATTTCTCTGGGTAAAACAGCTATATATTGTTTGAAGCAAAACATTTTCAATGGGTTCAGATAAGCAGAGTGGTAGCCCATTATTGGGAACCCTCAAGATGAAGAGCGTCAGGACGATCCTGACACACACATATCCATATCCTCATGAACACTCAAGGCATATCATGACTGCAGTCATAATTGCATGCCTCTTTTTCATCTCGTCTGACAATATGCATACCCTCATACATAAACTGGACAACAATATCAAGTGGTGGTCCATGTATGTTTGCCTAATCGGTTTCTTCTATTTCTTCTCTTCTCCCTTTCTCGGAAGAACTATTCAGCCGAGTTACTCGAATTTCAACCGATGGTATGTTGTCAACTCTTTAGTATGCCTCAACAACTCAACATTATATTTCTTTTGGATTGTCTCTATTGCTCCACAGAAACTTCTGCAAATGCATAACTAAGTTGTTAGGAGAAGTGATTCTGTCACTTGTATTGCATAATTGCAGGTATGTCGCTTGGATTTGCTTCGCTTCACTATATCATCTTCCCAGCTTCCAATCAATGGGAGTTGATATGCGCATGAACCTTTCACTTTTTTTGACGATATATTTCTCTTCTGTCCTTTTCATCATCGCCTTTCATATAGTTTTTATTGGTCTCTGGTACATTGGACTGGTTGCTCGCATGGCAGGAACAAGACCTGGAATTTGGACCATATTCCAGAACTGTACTGTAAGTTTACTGAAATTTTGTTTTTGTTACTCATTTTTATAAAAAAAACTAAACTGTCAGATTGCTCATTGGAAGATTATTTCTGCATTTGTTTCAGGTAATCAGTATTGCTTGCTGTGTATTCTACAGTCACTGTGGGAATCTTGCTGTGCACAAAAGTAAATCTTTCAGTAGGAATTCTGATCCAAATTTGCTTGCTTTTCTTGAGAATGAAAAGGGAACCACCTGGATATCAAATTTTCTCCGTATGAATGAGTTAAAAGATCAGATATGTTCATCTTGGTTTGCTCCGGTTGGATCTGCTAGTGATTATCCTCTTCTATCCAAATGGGTTATCTATGGGGAGGTACCGCTGGCCTCGATTCATCTATTCTTTCTTTTCATGTTTCCAGCTGACAATATCCATGTTACACTTCTTTGATCATGTTATTCTCCAGCTAGTTTGCAGTGGATCCTGTGCTGGCCCTTCAGATGAAATATCTCCTCTGTACTCATTGTGGGCTACATTTGTTGGCCTTTATATTGCTAACTTTGTTGTGGAGAGATCAACTGGGTATGTGTTTATTGTTTTGCACCGTGCATGTTCTTATTGATGCATTAATTTTCTTATAATAGAAGCTAGTAATATTTCCTTTCCAAAAATATTGCTTGCATACATTCAGTCTTTCTCTTAATTATGCACTGCGATTATTTCAGATGGGCTCTTACACACCCATCAACTGTATTGGAGGAAGAGAAGCTGAAGAGACAAATGAAACCAGATTTCCTGGACATGGTACCTTGGTATTCAGGGTAGGGCCTTTCTATTGTTCTGACGGCAGCAAGTTACTACCTCTATCCCATAATAATTGTATTTCTAGGATTTGAATTTGTCCCAAAATAATTGTCACAATAGAGTACTGATGGTCTCATTAATCACCTCTCATTCAATTTTTTCCCAATTTTACGCTCAACTACCCTCCTACTCTTACTTGTACACCATTTAATAAGGGGCATCATAGTATTTTTTTTTCTCAAACCTTAATACATACGGAACAACCTAAAATTACAATTATTTTGGGACGGAGGTAGTAGATTACAGGCTAGTCCAATGGAAAAATCCAACATCTTTGGCTTTGCTTTATACAGGACATCAGCTGATTTATTCAAGACTGCATTTGATCTTATGGTCTCTGTAACTCTTTTTGTTGGGCGATTTGATATGCGCATGATGCAAGTAAGAGTGTTTCCTCTGGAACTTTTACTCAATATGATATGCCCAACATGAATATAAGCTCTAAGGTTCTCCAAGTCAGAATTGTGATTCATTTCCTTGGTTCTTTTCACTGAAAATGTTTTGCCTTGGTGGTCATGGCTATCTAGTTTTAACACTCCAATTTTCAGCTTTATATCCTGTCACTGTGCACGTGCGTCTATGTTCAAGTCTATGATGCATGGTCTCTCAAACTTCTCTTTTTTTAACATTGTCTTATAGGCTGCAATGAAAAGAACAACAGATGAAACTCAGAATGATGACCTTTTGTATGACTACTTCAATGAAAGAGAAGACCTTTGGTTTGACTTTGTCGCAGACACTGGTGATGGAGGAAATTCATCATATACAGTTGCCCGATTGCTAGCTCAACCATCCATTCAGACTGTAATTGGTGGCTCCATGCATACTCTTCCACGTGGAAATCTGCTTCTTATTGGCGGAGACCTTGCGTAAGTTTACAGCATATTTATCAGAGTTGCGCTTTTCCTGTGGTCAATTAATTCATACTTACAAATCTAGACTCATTGTTGTTTAGCCAGTTGGATCACATGATTGATTTCATCCTTATACCATGGGAAATTATACAGACTATAGCTCTTGTTAAATGTTTGGAGATTCAGACTGTTAACAGCATGGTTGAGTTTCACAGTTATTTTTGAATGAAATGTTTTCTATGTCCCGTTGAAGCATTAGACTGCATCTTCAGTATTGAACACCTTAGCCTTCATAATTGAATAGACCGAGTTACCTGTTGATGATCTCATTTCTTATGTTCTGTCTCAAGCAACAGCTACTCATGGATAAGCACATCAAGCTTCTTCTCTATAATTGCAAAGGCTCGAGTTTATTTAGGCGCATCTCAGTATTTTTGGATGCACTATAAATTGTTATCATTTGCACACGATGATGGTGTTTTCACATATTTCATTACCAATCCATGGGTGGATCTGAATTCAAGCATTGCAGTCACATGACTCCAATGAACTCTTGCTAAACCTAGCACAATTTTTTTCAAATTAACAAATGAATGATTACACAATTTTAATGTTCTTTCCATGAATTCCCCATCCATAGTCGTTCTCCGTGAAGTATGTGGAACTTAGTCCATTTTATTTGTGCAATATGGATATTGTAGTTTCTGTTTCCTTTAACTTTCTGTAATTTTGGAATATACAGATACCCAAACCCATCGTCATTTACATATGAGATGCGCTTCTTTAGTCCTTATGAGTATGCCCTGCAACCTCCACCTTGGTATAGAGCTGAACATATAGCTTTGGACAAGCCTGAGGTTCCTCTTGGTATATCAAAGATGAAAGATTATGACGGACCACAGTGTTTCATAATTCCTGGGAATCATGGTGTGTACTCTGTACTTTTTTAATTCTTAACTTGATTAATCTACTATATCATATCCTGTTTCCTTTCCTTTGGACTCTGTAAACTGTTAAGTATGTAAGGTAGATAATATATGCCTGTTTTTATGAAGTTCATTTCATGATTTCCATTCCATTTACCACAGACTGGTTTGATGGGCTGCACACTTTTATGAGATATGTATGTCACAAAAGTTGGTTAGGTGGATGGTTTCTGCCTCAGAAGAAGAGTTATTTTGCATTGCGGCTTCCCCAGGGTTGGTGGGTATTTGGACTTGATCTAGCTCTTCATGGTGACATTGATGTATACCAATTCAAGTTCTTTGCAGAGCTTTGCCGAAACAAGGTGCATTTCTTTTTGTTCCTTGTATATCCTTCTGTTTAATTCTGTTTATGCATTTGCTTTTATTTTCATATTTTTGGTTTCTCATGTACATGACATTTTTAAAAAAAAAATTGCTTCAACCATGTATACTGCCATCAGAGTGGCTAGTAAACACACCCAATATGAACAAAGTTTTCTTTTTCTTTTCTTTTTCTTAATCATAGCCCCTTTTGCTTTTTAGGTGGAGAACTTCCTTGCATGTTACTTTGTTATCATTTAATTTTGGTTAGTTCCTGATGAATGAACTGTTAATCATTTCCAATAAAATTTCAAGAACATCAGAATCTCTTGGATATTGGGACTATTTTTTTTATTTCCAGATCTTGTTGATCCACTACATTTCTGAAGTTCTGCAGATTGGAGAGAATGACTCTGTGATTGTGATGACACATGAGCCAAACTGGCTTCTTGATTGGTATTGGAAGGAGACTACTGGCAAGAATGTTTCACATTTAATCCAGGACTACTTGAATGGAAGATGCAAACTTCGTTTGGCCGGGGATTTACACCATTTTATGAGGCATTCAGCTAATCAGATAGACAACCCTACTTCTGTGCAACACTTGCTTGTCAATGGATGCGGTGGTGCATTTTTGCACCCAACACATGTTTTCAAAAACTTTGAGCAGTTCTCTGGAGCTACTTATGAGTGCAAGGCTGCGTATCCATCCTTCGATGACTCCAGCGGGGTATGTTGTTCTCTATGATAATGGAATTTCTGAAATTTATAGCCTAACTAGCTTAAGTAGCTTGTATGTTGTGTACAAGTGAAATAAGGAAATCTTATCAATTAAATATGCAGATTGCGCTGGGTAATATACTAAAGTTCCGCAAGAAGAATTGGCAGTTTGACACAATTGGTGGTTTTATCTACTTCATACTGGTATTCTCAATGTTCCCACAGGTCAGTTCTATACCCTATTTAGCTATAATTTTCTTGTATGTAGTTTCTCAAAAAATGTATTGTTCCTTGAATATATTTACTTTGACTTAAAAATCCGCAAACAAGGGACATCCTTTTAAGAAATTAACCATGGAATTTACAGGAAAACCTGCTGCTGTATAGCTTTGAATTGGTTGAAAGAAACCTTATTCATGCTTCTCTACGTTATTTCGTCTCTTTTGACAAATGTATTTGACTTTTGTTGTTGACCCAGTTGCTCAACGTATTCAATTATTGTAAAACTCATTCAGGCTTTGTTCATTTTTGCTCCTTTTTTCAAAAAAAAGAAAAAACATGCATTTAACCACCTACTGGTTACTTGGAAAATCAAACTTGGTGATAGCAAGCATTGATGTGTATCCTTGCATTGCTAAGATGTTGTTTGATGCTCTATCATGCTATAATAATCTTGATCTAATTACGACTAATTGATCATGTTTCTGTTTTGTTCCAGTGTAATCTTGGTCACATCTTAAATGAAGAAACTTGGTCAGGGCGTCTGGGAAGCTTCTCAAATACAATATGGAGTGCTTTGCTCTATATTTTTGAACACTCTTATGTCTCTTCAGTAGGAAGTCTAACTTTATTACTGGCATCATATTCATTTGTACCATCCAAGCTCTCACGGAGAAAAAGAGCTATTATAGGTGGTCTACATGTTTTGGCCCATCTCACTGCAGCCCTGCTTTTAATGTTGCTGTTGGAGTTGGGAATTGAAATTTGTATTCGGAATCATTTATTGGCAACATCAGGTATTCCATGTCATTCTCATATCAAGATGAAAATTCTTATCACAGGTCAAGATCAAACTGCATGTTCATGCTTATTTTTTTTGACGCAAGAAGGTAGAGCGTGCTCTACCTTATAGTCATTTCATTAAGAGAAATGAGGTTTACAAGTTACAGGTTATAGCAGAGGGGGTATTAAGAAAGGGGAAACGGGAAAAATAAAATAGATAAAAGAAAAGAAAAGAAACGAAACAGGGGGCTGGAATTACAAGGGTATATACAAAGTAATGTCACAACTACAGCCCTGCACACCAGGAGAGAATTCGTTCTTTGGTTGCTTCATTGGCTCTCATGCTCCAGAGCTTTAGTGTGTCTGAGATTTGTTGAATGATGAATTGCAAGTTGTCATTTTGTCTCTCAAAAATCATGTTGTCGCGTGCTTTCCACAGCGTGTATGTGCAAGCTGCAAACCAAATAGAAATCATTCAAATGTTCATGCTTATGATATGTCTTCTAATATATGTAAAAAATAAAAGATCTTTATCTAGTCTTTTAAACTCAGGATATACTAATTTATGGTTTCCAACTGGACTAGATTGTAAACATTTCATATTTCATCCCTGAAGTGCCTAGAGGAAATTAAAGGCAAAAGATATTCCTGTGCAGACATGTCATATCCTAGGAAGTTTATTTGACAAAACTATCATGCCATGTCCCTGATAATATACCTCAGCCATTTACTCTGAGCTCCACTGCACAAAAGGTTTAGTGAGTGATGTAGCTACGATCCTTATATTTGTTCCCGACTTCAGAGATTTTGCTTGTGTCCTGTTTCTTCTTCCAAGCAAAATTCAACTTGAACTGAAAATTTTACTGTAAATTCATTTGTTGTAGGTTATCACACACTATACGATTGGTATCGGTCAATGGAAAGTGAGCATTTCCCTGATCCAACCGGTCTTCGTGCTCGCTTGGAGCAATGGACACTTGGACTGTACCCAGCATGCATAAAATACCTAATGTCAGCCTTTGACGTTCCTGAGGTAACAAGTGTCTCAGCTTGGAAACAACTACAGTTTCCATGCACTTTTTGGATAGTTTACTTACAATGTATATCTTTATTCAGGTCATGGCTGTGACAAGAATTAATATCTGCAAGAATGGGATGATGTCTCTTTCTCGGAGTGTTCTGATGATGTACTACACTTCTGTGTTTATCTACTTCTGGATTTTCTCAACTCCAGTTGTCTCCCTCATATTTGGTAGTTACCTATATATCTGCATCAACTGGTTCCACATACACTTTGATGAAGCCTTCTCTTCGTTGCGTATTGCAAACTACAAATCATTCACAAGATTCCACATTAAGAAGGATGGTAACCTGGAAATATTCACGCTTGCAGTAGACAAGGTAACAATTCAACTTGATTGCGTTGATCTCATCCATTTAGAACTTGAATTTCAAAATCCGCTGATCCATATCACCCAAATATATAAGTGTCAATACATGTTTGTGTACACAGAAACAAAGTACATATATTATCCATCTTTAAACACGCCAATATGGTGAGCAGGTCCCAAAGGATTGGAAATTGGATCCCAAGTGGGAGGCAGAGGAAAGGAGGCCTCATCAGCTCAGCCATCACCGGAAGCACCCCAGCAAGTGGAGGTCATCCTCTTCCCCAGACCCTGTCACGTCGGTACGGGTTGTCGACCATTTCACCATTTCAAGAACAAGAACATCAGATCCCAACACCTCTTGTTGATTAGACACATGGTGGGTCGAGGAATGGACAACTACTAGTTGCGGTGCGCGTTGCTATCTTTATAGATCCAGCTGACTTAGTCTGCCGAACTGACAAGTGAGCCTGCATTTTAGAGAAATGGAGTTTTACAGAGTATATATAGAATTAGTAACAAAGAAATGATTATTAGTTCAGCAAAATTGTAAGGCCTGATTGGTTGTATTGCTTGAAGTAGACTATTGAGATTGCTTCAGCTAGCATGGTAAATAAAATCAATCTTGTTATCATCAGTAGATCAGTTGGAAGCTAGAAAGAAACTGAGGCGTATGGGCTGATCGATACGTTGCTTGGATGCTACTCGCCTTGTTGGTGAACGCATATTGTACAAAGTAGTAGTAGCATGTTGGACCAAAGTGTCTCTAGCCTGTATGTGAAGAGAGGCATAAATCATCATAATCATGGCAGCTGCATGAGCAGAGAAAAGAAGCTACTCCGGCCAGTTTGCAAATTTGGCTAGCTAGCTTGTCCAATCCTAAAGTCATGAGAGCAGTGTGTGTGGCTTTGCTCGTGGAGCGAGGCAAGCATATCTTCATTACTACTACTAGTGTATCTAGCTTGCTCTTGTTGGATCGATATAAAATGGGATCGGATGCTGCCAGCTGATGTGAAGTGAATTGAGCAAGATTGCAAGGGCAAGCAGCTATATATGGCGAGCGAGCAAGGCCAAGGTGAGCAGACATCATCAATGGCGGGCGCGGGCAAGGGCAAGGGCGAGGTCGAGGGCATGGAGCAGAAGCTGGAGAAGCTGATGTCGGCGTTTCACGACCATCAGGAAGGCAACAAGGCGGTGAGGCATCAGAAGGAGCTGGAGGAGCTCTTCAGCTTCCTCAGGGAGCACGAGGCCGCCTTCTCGCAGCTTCCAGGGGACAAGAAGGACGACCTCGACGCCCTCCTCCGCAACATCGAGGGCGTCCTTGAGCTGTGCAAGAATCAGGAGGAGAAGAAGAAGAAGACGACGAACAAGATGGGCGACTGCATCCCCTTCAAGTCGTCGTCCAGGCCGCCTGCTGACCACACGTCGTCGACGTCGGTGGTGGCGCCGTTGCTGATGCAGGCCAGGGACATTCTCGGCGACTCATCATCATCTGCTCCTGCAGCTGCAGGGCCTAATAAGAAGGAGGTGCTGTACGAGTGGACGACGAGCTACGTCGACGAGAAGAGGCTATACGGGTGGGACGACGAGGCCACGGAGGTGGCGGACGCCCTCGCCGGCCCCGAGGAAGACGACGACGAGCTGTTCAGGGCGGCGGGCATCTTCGGCATCCACGGAAGCGGCAAGACGGCGCTGGCCCAGAAGGTGTTCGTCCACGACCGCATCAAGGACACCTTCCTGCTCCGCCTCTGGGTGTGCGTCGGCCCGACGCCGCCGGACGATGACAAGCAACAGCAGTACGAGGTGAAGTTTAGCCTCCTCTACCGCATGCTCGACAACCTCGGCCTCGACACCTATAAGGTGGAGGAAGTCGTCAACGGCTCGGAAGCCGTCAAGAAGCACAGCGGCGACAGCGACGCCGCCAAGGAGTCCAAGATCGGCGTGCTGCTCTTCATCCTGCACGTGGCGCTGGCCAAGACCTCCTACCTCATCGTGTTGGACGACATCCGGGCGTACGACCCCTGGTACACCAACCTGGCGCTGCCGCCGCCGCCCCACGGCGAGTGGAGCGACCGCCTCGCCTACGGCCTGCCCAAGCTGAACAAGAGCGCCGTGCTCGTCACCTGCCGCAAGGAGGAGCACGCCAGGGCCATGGTGCGCACCGGCCGCGTCTTCCACCCGCCGCTCCTCGCCGTCGCCGACGCCTGGAAGCTCTTCGAACGCGAGTACCTGCAGGAGGCCGAGAAGAAACAAGTCGGGTACAACGTCAAGGACGACGTGCTGTACAATGATCTCAAGGTGGTGCAGGAGGAGATGGTCGGCAAGTGCCTCGGCCTGCCGGTGGCCATCCTCGAGGCCGCCAAGGGCTTCGCCCAGTACTGCACCTACGTTGATGACGACGATGCCAAAACTACTCAACCCACTACTGCTAAAGGTGCCGACGCCGGCGACCCTGCTCATGCTGCCGCCTAGATCCACTCTCATCCATCCAAACACTATACTTATACATATATTCCGTAATTTAATGTTTTGCTGCACACGCATGCTACTCTCGCAATGCCATATATATCGTCCATCATTTTTCTTCCTAATATAATGAATGTAAGGTACACATCGAGTTTTCTTGTTGTATTTAATTTGTGTCTGTGTACTCCTACGTACTTCTACAGATTTTTCACCATCAAATCCACACAAACATTAGTGCATGAGCTCCTTCCCCTCCAACCAGGCGAGCTTCTCCTCTTCTCTAGTGCCAGCAACTCCGCAATTATTTGCATGTCCCTCAAATGATTATGAAAAAAATAAAAAAAATAGAAAATATGTATTAATATGTGATATATCACTCCACAAATATGCAAGTTTAAATTCAACTTCTACATCTCGCAATGAAAAAAAATTAAAATACAGCTAGTTAACGTATATTCACAATCAAATTTGTTTTTTTCGTTGCGAGACGTAGAAGTTAAATTTGAACTTGTATGTTTGTATAGTGATATATCACATGTTTATTCATCTTCTCTAATTTTTTTTATAACCATTTGAGTGACATGCAAACAACGAGGGGACCTCCCCTCGAGGATCAAAATCCACTCCCCAATTTCGGTAGAGGGCATATGGGTATAGACCGTGCTAGGAGGCCAGTTGCTGGAGGGGGGAGATCAAGGGAAATTATTTTGATCCCTTGAGGGGAGATCCCTCGTTGTTTGTATGTCACTCAAATGGTTATAAAAAAATTGAGAAGATGTATTAACATGTGTTATAACACTCCACAAATATACAAGTTCAAATTCAACTTCTACATCTCACAATGAAAAAAAACAAATTTGATTATGAATATACGTTAACTAGTTTGTAGTTTAATTTATTTTTTTCGTTGCGAGATGTAGAAGTTGAATTTAAATTTACAGGTTTGTGGAGTGATATATCACATGTACATCTTCTCAAATTTTTTTAATTTTTTTCATAACTATTTTGAGTAACATGCAAACAACGAGGGGATATCCCCTCAAGGGATTAAAATCCACTACCGGGAGATCAGGGAGGTTTCTCCCGGGCTTAGAGGGATATAGCGGTGGATGAAGACGAGAACCGGTGATGGGTGGAACATGGGCAGGCAGCAAGGTGTTGGTGGCAGTGTCAGAGCCACGGTGTCGAAAGCGGACAGCGGGCAGTGGGCAGTGTGAACGTGAGAGAAGTGGGAGAGGAAGAAAATGATAAGGTTATTGTGCGCACAAATCTTAAATCACATTCAACACCTGACATGGAATGGTATTATCTGTCATAAGTTGTATAGACAATCCCTTAATTAATAGGGTGTATATCTTTTTATTTGTGTGTTTCTCCATATATATGTTATGGGAAAAGTCGAGCTCTACACCAGGAGAAAGTCAGGGCCTGTTTGCTACAGCTCCAGCTCCTAGATTCACCTCTGATCTAGCTGGAGCCTAATGACGGAGCGCGGGGCTCCTCACCGGGAGACCGCACAGGCCCCCCTTTGCCGGTTCGGCCGGGGGCTCAGGGTGAAATTCCAAGCTCTCTCTGTATGTGGGAAGATCGCGACCTATCAAAAGAGCATGAGACACAAGCGATGTATACAGGTTCGGGCCGCTGAGAAGCGTAATACCCTACTCCTGTGTTTTGGTGGATCTGAGTGTGAAGGAGCTACAAAGTGTGAGGCAACCTCCCCCTTGCTCTAGGTTCTGAATCTGTAAAAAATCCAAAAATCCCCCCTCTCTATGGGCAAGGTCCTCCTTTTATATTTCAAGGGGATACCACATGCACCCTTCCCTTTCCAAACTGGACTTTTCTTCTCTTCATAAATGGACGGAGATTTGCACGGTTGCCCTTCGAACGTCCTTCTGACGAGACAGCACATACCTACCTCCACTTCTGCCGGGGGGAGGCGCGTCGTGGGAACGTGGCTGTCTGCCGACGACATGACCAGTGTCAGACCGGTCACAAATCGGTCATTCTTGTCCACCACGCGTCAGCTTAGCAACGTGCATGTTTGCCCTTCTTCACACAACATTTTGCTTGTAATGGTTATGATGAAGCCTGGCATATATCTGACCGGGGCTAACGCGCCATCTCTAAGAGGCAACACGCTAGCTCCAGTTAGAGACGAGTGCCTAGAGGCTCTCGTCTTGACAGGATGGGGCGAGGTGTGCGTCAGTCCGCCAATCGCCACCTAACCCGTGATCTGACCGGTCTGTGACTGGTCACAGACCGGATAAAGGAACGCGCTGCACTGCGCTGCATGCAGCGTGACACGCTTGACCAGACCTCAATAAACGCGGTTAGGTGAGCCCTGCCGTGTTCACCTAACCCATACATGTGACGCAAAAAACCCACAAGGGGTCGGGGCGCCTCGGCCCTCGGGGCCGGGGCAGGAGTAACCCGACCCCCCTCGGGGAAAACAGGAGGAGGGCGGACACCTCACCCTCGGGCCCGACGTCCCCGAGGGTGCCAGGCCACGTGGGCGATTGTGTCTGCCTCAAGCCTCTGGTCACGATACTCCCGGTCCCATATCACCGACACCTAACCAAACGGTCTAGCTCAAAAAAAAAAAGTGGAGCGGAGTAGGCCAGATCGCTCCTAAAAAACGAACTAGCTGTGTGGAGCGGCATTTTGGTCACTCCACAACTCCAACTCCTAAAAGATAATTTATTATTTTTCCTGTTGGGTCAAGATAATAGTTACAAGGATAATTTTTGTCCAAATTTGATCAGTATGACTCATTGTACTGTATTCGCCTGTGTCTGTCCTTGTGCCAGATTATTGATAAAAAAACGAGATTTTTGTTTTGATATGATGTGCTGTGTTATGCCCTTGCAATTTTTTATCCACTTAACCATTCCAATTGAAGTATTATGAGCAGTAATCTCTAATTATAAACCAGTGAGAATTATAGTGTTCAAATTATTAAGAAATTTTATTCATTATTAGTCCCACCACTAAGCAGAAAAAAAATAAGGGTATTATTGTCCATCTCCCTCATATCCTCTTTTTGAGAATTTTTGGAGCTGACTAAGCTAACCAAATACTTTCAAGGCCACTCCAGATCTTATAAGAGCTAGCTCCCACTGGAGTTTGAGTTTGGAGCTAAAATCTGAGAGAGTTGGAGCCCTACCAAACAGACCCCACATTGAGGGAAACTATCCTCATGCCTGAACATTCATTTTATATTAGTACTTTGAATTATATCCTTATTAATCCATGCTGATAGTAGTATATATATGATAAATATTAAAATTTTAATCATATGGCAGTATGACACGATTATTTCTCAAATTATAGAGTATTGGATTAATGCTGTGAAAAAATGAATGAAGAAATTCAAAATAATTTGTCCATAAAATTTTTATATGTGTTATTAACGGTTTTAAAAAAATACTGAAAATGGACAATAATGAAAAAAAGAACAAATCAACCTAAAGTTAAGTTCTAAAAAATATTTGTTGGCTGTGATGGACATGTAACTTTAATATTCATAGTTAAATATATGATATATAAATTTATAAACAAGTTTAAATTCAACCTAAGTTGCAACAAAATATCAAATATGACAGGGAATAATTAGTTAGAGTTTAATTTTTTTTATACTTACATACTAGTTCGATTCTATAGGTGTATGTTTGTGGAGTGATATCACGTACATTTTTATATTTGTATACATCAAATTTGGATATTATGTGCATGCAAGGCATAAAAAAAAGGGGGTGGGAACACCCCCTTAATTAAGGAACAAATATCCATCTCTTACAAATAAATAAATAAATATATATATATATATATATATATATATATATATATATATATATATATATATATATAGACACACGCACTCCATCATTTCCTAAATGTTTAACGCCGTTGACTTTTTTAAACATGTTTGACCGTTTATCTTATTCAAAAGCTTTTGTGAAATGTGTAAAACTATATGTATACATAAAAGTATATTTAACAATAAATCAAATAATAGGAAAAGAATTAATAATTACTTAATTTTTTTTTGAATAAGATGAACGATCAAACATTTTTTAAAAAGTCAACGGCATCAAACATTTTGGTATGGAGGAAGTATATAGTATGCATGGATGTATTATACTTGTATATGTATGAGAGCTAGCGAATTGAAGGATGAGATAAATATTAATGCATGTAGGGAGATGGATGTGGTGGGGCTACTGGTCGTGGACGATGAGCTTGGCCTTGGCGTCCCCCTCATTGATCCGGTACATGTCTCCCATCCCCATGTGCGCCATGAGAAACCAGACCAAGGTGATGAGCTCGCCGCCGCGGCTGAGCTGCCGCACGTGCGTGCTCCCATGGCACTTGCCGGCCGCGTACGTGAGCATCTCCCTCCAAACTCCGGCCACCACCCTCCACATGGTGTCGTCGTGGAGCTGGAGGAGCACCTTGGCCAGGATGCAGGCGTCGAACAGCACAGATTTGCTCCGGTCGCCCTTCACATCGGCCGGCTTCTTGGACGTGTTGACGGAAAGCAGCATCCGGCGGGCGTCGTCGTGGTTGGGGTCCCACGCCTCCGCCGACTTGAAGAAGCGGCGCGCCTCGGCGCACGTGTCCCGGTAGCGGAGTAGGCCGATGCCGGCGGTGGCCGACAGCATCTCCGGTTGCCTGACGAGGAGGTAGAGCATGTACTCCGACAGGGTCTCGCTGATGGACATCAAGCCGTTGGTGTCGTGCATCCGAGGCCCTTCCCGCTCTCGGTGACAGCATAGGTCAGTGGCGATGTGCCATAGCAGCAGCGACTCGTCGAACTCCCTCTCGATGCTGTTCCGCAGGACGCCATCCAGCTTCTCCTTCACCATCTTCTCGACCAAGTACTCGGACTCGTCCATCTCCTCCTCCTTGTTGGTTGATGAGCTATTATCCTTCTTGTTGAGCTCCGCCTCTCGTGTTGCCTTGGTCAGCTCCATCTGGATGTCTCTGACAAGCTCCTCGTCATCCCTGAGGGTCCCCTGGCCGCGGTAGCCGCACAGCTTCTTCATCAAGTCGTAGTCCGTGGAGCCCTTGAATTTTTGGGCCTCCTTCTTAAGCCTATCGAAGACATACGTGAGCACGTCGACGTGCGGCTTCTCCTCCTTGTGCCAGCAGCACAAGTGATTCATCTTGTTGTTGTTGTTGTCGATGTGACTGCAGCTCACCGGCTTGCGCTGGATGAAGAAGAAGTCGTCCAAGGTCTCCCTGACGCTCACCTTGTCGGCGACCCAGATGAGGAACCGCATCACACTCGGCGGGATCGTCTCCCGCCTGCAGCACTGGCGGCGGCGACCCTCCTGCTCCTTGGGCTTGCCTAGGCAGTAGCAGATGAAGTTCAGCTGCGAGGTCCGCTCCGACCACCGCCTTGGCTGCAGCCGCACGGCCCTGGCCACCCGGGAAAGCCACGCCATGTGCTTGGCTTCGAGGAAGACGATCATCCGGTTGGAGCAGAGGAGCATGAGGATGGCGGCCACGTCGAGCGCCAGCCCGCCGAGCAGCAGCGCGTAGGTGATGGCACGGTCCACGGGGAGGATGGCGGTCTTGTCGAGGAGCGCGAAGAGGAGGATGGCGATGACGAGGCAGGCGGTGCCGACGCAGCGGAGGACGCAGCCTGCCGAGCTGTGGGACACGGGCGCCTTGGTGTACACCATGTCGTAGATGAAGTTGAGCTCCACCTCCACCACCTCGAACGCCTTGCCCGCCGTCATGTCGTGGCGGTCCAGGAAGTAGGCCTGGCTGATCCTCCTCTCCTTGTAGCTGAGGATGAGGTTGACGAAGAGCAGCCGGAACATGGTGAAGAAGTCGTACGCCATCGCCTCCAGGCTCTTGTTGCTCTCCTTCACCAGCCGAACCTCCTCGCCCTCCTCCAGCGCCTCCTTCGCCTTGCTGGCCTCGCCGTCCGCGATGGTGATCTCCACCAGCAGTCCGGCTTTCTTCTTGGAGTCGAACTCCGTCATGAGCTTGGCGTAGTTTGGCCCAGGGTTGGGTTCGCCGAGGATCTTGTCGCGGAAGCCGGAGACGCTGCCGGAGTAGAGCGAGTAGGTGCGCTCGCCGTACTTGATGATGCCGACGAGGAAGATGAGGGCGGTGGCCGGGACCATGGGGTTGGACTTGACGGAGCAGGAGAAGACGACAAAGGCGGAGAAGAGCTCGAAGAGCAAGCCAATCAAGTGGCGGAGCCAGAGCTCGTTGTCCTCGAGGGAGTAGGCGGTGATGGTGTCCGGGCCGCCCAGGTGGAGCAGCAGGAATGGAGTCCAGAAGGCGAAGATGGGCGGGCTGCCGCCGCCGGAGGATGTGTTGTTGGTGCTGCCGCCGCCGGGCCCACGCTTGAAGCCGCCGACACCGGCCGAGAGGTGGCTGATGCTGCTGCTGCTAGAGGAGGAGGAGGATCCGTTGCCGCCGCTGATGTTGCCGAGGTTGTTGAGGAGGAGGCCGAGGCCGAGGTCGGCGACCCAGTCGGCGAGGAGGTAGCACGACCAGACGGCGAAGCGCGGGACAGGGTGGGAGGAGCGCTTGCGCATGGGCCCCACGAAGATGAGGAGAATCTGGAGGGTGAGGCTGAGCAGCACAGCCACCCGGATCTCCCAGTCGCTGTCATTCTGCGGCACCGGCGGATTGAAACCCATCCACGATGCTAGCTTAATTAGCTTCTTCTTCTTCTCTTTCGTCGTTGTCTTCCTCTGATCAGCTCATGCATGCATGCATATGCTTCCTTCAACGTCAATATATATATCCATGCAGACAAAATTATTTTAGGTTGACTACACACACAGACGTACAGAATATATATATCATGCAACTCCATATAGCTAGAAATTAAAGGAAGAACCAAGTTAATTAAGTGATCGATACAAGAAAATTAATTAAATATCTCTCACCTGCTAATTATGATCGATAATGCACATGCATGCATGCGGTAGGAGCTGGAGATCGATCGACTAGCTATAGTATTGCTGTTGTATTCATTATATTGCTGCATCATACTATATGGTACCTAGCAATATATATATATAGATGCAACTGATCGATCGATGCATACTGCATGTACACAGTACACCATCGATCGAGTTCCGTCTTCAGTAAATTACTTGGCAGCCAAGCGATCCGGGATTGTTTTTTTTTTTAGGGTTGGAGAGAGAAAAATAAAAAGCGATTCGGCGAGCGCAAATGATATGATCTCGATCGATGTGCCTTGTTCCATCGTGGCTTGCATCAAGTAGCTTACACATCATATATCGAATAACTCCCTTTTTCTTCCAAAGGAAAAGAGAAAGGGTAAAGCGTGAAAGTAAATTTGTCGGACCAGCTAGCTACTGTATACATTACTTCAATTACTAACTAGAATTGAGTTGCATCTCATCGTATAGCACTGCAGGAAAACTCTGTTAATTAATAATCACTCGAGTAGTAAACATCCACTCATTTATTACATATCAATTAATTAAATAGTTATTATTTTTTAAAAGAAAATTAACAAGATAGATTAGTAGAACTTATTACTCTCTAAGCACCGAGACCTCGCTTTATATTTTAACACCGAGGCAAGTACACCCTAGACGTTAACATACCATCGAAAATATGCATATTCAATCTTAAGTTTTTTTTTCAGAATTAATTTAATACTTTCTCAATTTAGAATTAGTGCAACAAATAATACATGAAGAAGTGTAGCTAGGGTGAAAGGCAGAGCTAGCTAGACATGCGATCGATGCGTGAGTGCTATGCTTGTCGCACTTACAGATCTGTGCATCATGCATATGCACTGATGCACATACATCCCATGCAGCTGCGAACCTTTTGTTTTTGCTATGGATTTTCCTTTTACACAGATGCTATTCTAATCGTGAGTATCATGCTTGCTTGTGCATTGCAACGACGCGACGGAGGGAGAGGGATTCGACCACTGTTTGTTGCGCAAACTAATTAACCATCCCACTAGCCCGCGCATTTGTGGTTGTAATCAAACAGACAGTTCATATAACTTAACAAACTGCAACTGGACCGTCTAGAGGGTCAGTAAGACCATCGGACTAGCGAACCGATAACTCGACTGGTATATCCACTAATCCAGGTTTAATAACTATGACTGAGAATGTAAACTGAATTCACTAAAAATCACATATATTTTTGAAATGACAAAACTGTCAATATCCTAGATATGGGATGCCCTGTACATGTGTAACTAGATCGCACGGGGCCATCATATGCCAAGTCTTGTAAGGAAACAAACCCTGTGCATATGGCAAAAGTTCTAAATAGATAAGGAATGAGTCCCAATATAAGAAAAGAAATACATAGTCCAATTTATGCTTGATCAAGACTATTTGGATTGTATCCATATTTACCTCTGACGGAGCGGGAGGCTCCTCACCGGGAGACCGCGCAGGCCTCCCTTTGCAGGTTCGGCCGGGGACCCTGGGTGAGATTCTAAGCTCCTAGTTTGTGGAAGGTTCGCGAGAGTGGAAGAAGCACACAAGACACGGGCGATGTATACAGGTTCGGGCCACTGAGAAGCGTAATACCCTACTCCTGTGTTTTTGGTGGATCTGTGTATGAAGAAACTACAAAGAGCTGGAGAGCTAGAGAACTCTAACTCTCCCCCTCCTCCTTCTTTTTCTCTTTTCGTCCTGGATCCGAATCCCCCTTTCTAAGTGGGCAAGGTCCTCCTTTTATCTTTCAAGGGGATACCACATGCACCATCTCTCTTTCTTTTTTGTGGGGACTTCTTCTATCTTTTCATAAATGGACGGAGATTTGTATGGTTGCCGTCCGAATGATCTTCTGATGGGACGGCCCATACCTACCTCCACTTCCGCCGGAGGCAGGCGCGACGTGGGATCATGGCTGTCTGCTGACGACATGACCAGTGTCTGACCGGTCACAAATCGGTCATTCTTGTCCATCACGCGTCAGTTTAGCAATCTGCATGTTCGCCCTTCTTCATACAATATCTTGCCTGTAATGGTTAGGATGAAGCCTGGCATATACCTGACCGGGATCAACGTGCCATCTCCAGGAGGTAACACGCTGGCTCCGGCTTAGGGACGGGTGCTTGGAGGCGCTCATCCTGACGGGATGGGGCGAGGCGTGTGTCAGACCGCCTGTCGCCACCTAACCCACGATCTGGTCTGTGACTGATCACAGACCGGATAAACGAGCGCGCTGCACTGCGTTACATGCGGCGTGACGCGCTTGTCCCAATCGCAATGAATGCGGTTAGGTGAGCCCCGCTGTGCTCACCTAACCTATACACGCGGCGCCAAACCCACAAGGGGTCGGGGCGCCTCAGCCCCCGGGGCCGGAACGGAAGCGGTCCGACCCCTCGGGGAGACAAAGAGGGGGGCGGCCACATCACCCTCGGGCCCGCCCCCCCCCCCCCCCCGAGGGGGTCAGGCCCCGTGGGTGATTGCTCCTGCCCAAGCCTCTAGTCATAATACTCCCGGTCCCATGTCACCGACAGTAGCCCCCGGCGTTATGCCAGGGCGATCGCCCTCCTCAAGGGAAGCGGTCGGGCATAACGCCACTTTCAAAAGCCTGGTGACAGGTGGGACCGGTCTCCATAGTTGGGCAGAAACCCAACGGTCGCAAATCACGCACTCCGGCAACGGTAACTCGACTGTCAATAATGAGCGGCCTCTTCAAGGCTGCCACATTACTTGAGTAGCACATGAATCGGGATGAGCCGGTTCGTTTTGCCTGGAGAAATGGTGATGGCGCTTCGGTTGGCGAGCGTAATTAACGCGCGCACGATATGTTCTATCTCGACTGCCACAACCGCATATCCACCTCATGCGCCGCAAGCGGGCGAATGGGATTAGTGGAAGCGTGGGCGCGAGAAACGAGGGAGCGAAATAGTGGGCGCGAGAAGCGAGGAGCCGGGCACAGCGTTGGCAAGGGTATAAAGAGACCGAGGAAGAGATTTGCTGCCTTCCTTTCGCCATTATTCCCCTTGTCTTCGCCGCTTGCACCCTAACTCCTTCTTTCCTGTGCCCTACCTTCGCCACACGCGCTCGCTCTCAATCTTCTCTTCCTCCGGCGTCATGGCACGGGGCTCCGCTCTGCTCGATGGTAGCGTACTGCCGCCTTCCCGCATCGTGAGCGAGAGGCAGGCCGGGCTGCCGCGCCGCTTCATGCCGGAATCTGCCACCGGCCGGGAGATAGTCACGCTGAGCGAGGGACGCCCGGCGCCAAGCTACCCGGGGCGGTCCGTCTTCTTCCTCCCTTTTGCAATGGCAGGGCTGGTTCCGCCATTTTCTTCTTTCTTCATGGATGTTCTGGAGTTTTACGATCTCCAGATGGCGCATCTCACCCCCAACGCGGTAATGATATTGGCCATCTTCGCGCACCTGTGCGAGATGTTCATCAGGGTGCGCCCATCCCTTCGGCTGTTCCGGTGGTTCTTCACCGTTCAGTCGGTGTCGCCGCCGTCGGTGGTTGGTGGCTGCTACTTCCAGCCGCGGGGGCCGGTGCTGAACCGCTACATCCCCTGCGTCCTCCGCAAGAAGTGGGATGACTAGAAGAGCGACTGGTTCTACACCCCCGTCGCCGACGAAGCGCGCCTCCGACTTCCGAGCCAGCCCCCGGCGCAGGCCTCCAGCTGGCGGGCGCCGGTAGATCTGGGGGATGGCTATGACGCCGTCCTCGACCGCCTGGCGGGCCTGCGATCCCAGGGGCTCACAGGGGCCATGGTGTATGGCGACTACCTCCGTCGCCGGATTGCGCCACTCCAGCGGCGCGCCTGGGGCGCCTGGGAGTACACCGGGTCCGAAGACTACATGAGGACCCACCAGGGAGTCAGATGGGACTGGGCTCCTGAGGACTTCAAGATAGTGGTCCAACGGGTGCTGAATCTCAGCTCCGTGGAGGCATCCCTCATTCCCCAAGGAGTCCTCCCCCTCTGCAGCGATCCAGACCGCGCCTCCATCCTGACCATCATGATGGCGGTCGGGGCCTCAGAGGAGCGAGCTCCTAAGGGCCACGACGGCGCGGGCGGGAGCCGCAGGGGGGAACAATCTACCCCGGGAGGGGGTCGTGCTTCTGGGCCCCGCGACGGGGGCCCGGGGAGCAGCCGCCCTGCCGACGCTCGGGGGAAGAGGAAGCAGGGAGGAACACCTCCCCCATCTCCTCCCGAGGGGGCGGGGTGGTGCGTGCCAGCAGCAGGCGCCCGGAGGGGGCCGCGCCGACGTCGCAGCCCGAGGGGGAGCGAAAGAAGAAGCGGCTCCGCAAGATGGGGGGGACAGAACCATCCCGGGGAAACCTCATTTCCCCTCCAAGGTGGTCGTTTAACCGACCCCCTCGCAGGTTCGTCCCACGCCCATCGTGGCTGTATTCATTCTCTCAACGCGAGTTTTCACTCACCCATCTTGTTCGTCTTCTGGTCTTTCTTCTGCTTCAGCGAGATCCCGTCGCGTCCCTCCCGCCATTCCAAGTCCGGCCAGTCTGAGGCCGATGATCCGGCGACCGCAGAGGCACGGAGGCGGGAATCTGACCGGCGAGAAGCCGCGGATCGCCTACGGGAAGCCGAGGAGGCCGCCCGGGAGGCCGCCCGGGCTCGCCAGGCTGAGGAAACCGCTCGGGAGGAGGCCGCCCGGGCTCGCCAGGCCGAGGAAGCCGCTCGGGAGGAGGCCGGATTTCGCCAGGACGAGGCGATGGCGACTTCCGAGGCAGCTCGCGACGAGGCCGCGGGCGCGTCGCTTGGGCCCACTCCCTCGGGCGATGCTCAGGCGACGACTTCCGGGGCAGCTGGCGACGAGGCCGCGGGCGCATCGCTTGGGCCCACTCCCTCGGGCGACGCTCAGGACCAACCAGGTCCGGGGGACATCCCCGAGTCCGGCACGTCCGTCGGCGGGCCGAGCCGCGCGGTGTCCTCTCCAAGGCGGCTTTTCCCCACGCCTTCTGTTGCCCCACTGAGCGCAGAGCCCCTTCTGCAGGCCTTGGCCACCGCAAACACCACGGTGTTGGACGGGT